TCAGCACACATGCAAATGGACAGTTCTTACCACGCAGAGGAATCTTACATGAGTACAGGCTTACTCAGGGCAAGTTCTTCCCCCCAGTTTTATTAAGTGCTTTGTGGTTGCTGTTTCTTCAGTTCATTCTTTTTTGAGACAGAGTCCAGGTTAGGGAGCAGCAGCATGGCCATAGGTCACAGCAAGTGACTATGGACTCAAGTGATCCTCCTGCCTCAGCCTCCCAGTAGCTGGGATTACAGGTCTGTGCCACTACGTCCTACTAATTTTTCTATTTTTTGTACAGATGAGGTCTCTCTCTTGCACAGGCTGGTCTTGAACTCCTGACCTCAAGTGATTCCCCACCCTAACTCCTGCCTCTGCCTCCCACACTGCTAGGATTACAGGCATGAACAGCTTATTCTGAAGGCAGAAAAGTGTGTTATTAAAAGTAGATGGTGAGGAAAGTGAAGTGGGTCCTACCTTGTTCCCCCTTGACCTCTACACTCTCTGTGCTACAGAGCAGCCAGAAGGATCCTTTGTCAGCTCAAGTCTCATCTTGGCTTAAACCCTTTAATGTTTCCCTTCTTTGAGTAAAAGCCAGCCTATTTAGTGGCCATGTGGTCCATCTCTAAACACCTCAGACCTGTCTCAGTTACCTCCCTCTGCTTCAGTCCTAGTGCCCCTTGCTGTTCCTCGAATATTTTCCCCTTTCCTGCCTTAAGGTCTTTGCCCTTGCCTGGGAGACCTTTGCAGCTGTCGGCCTGCCTTACCCCCTGACTGCACTCAGAGACCTGCTCCCTACGGCTTCGCTTTTCCCGCGTCACTGCTTTCAGCGTCTTTCACTACCTGATACGTCATGCGTTTATTTCTTTATTGTCTGTCTCTGTCCCCTACTGGTGTGTGAGTTTTACAAGAGCTTCATTTATTTTGTCCACTATTGCATTCTTGGTGCCTAAGACCAAGTGCATGGTGAACAATAAGGTCTCAGCAAGTATTCGCCACATGAATGGATAGAGGCAGGGCAAGGTGAGCAGGGCTGACGCTTTGCACCTGTGGAAGAAGGCCATGGAGCCAAAAAAAGAAGACAGTGGGGCACTTGGTTTGTTGTAGAAACAGTTAATTTGTTGCTTTAACCTGAATTTTTTTCCACAGCGATAGGACAGGCCCTATTCTCATGTTAGGACAGAAGCACATTCCAAAGTGACACAAAATGACAAGTACAAAATAATCACCAGTGATTTCCAAGGGCTGACTCACCCTTCTTAGTGTTTACCATACATTATTTAATTCAATTCTCACAAAAACTGTGGATGATCAGTCTGTCATTAGTTCCATTTTACAGACAAGAAAACAGGCGTGGAGGGGTTTAATAACTTGCCTGTGATTACACAGTATGTAAGAAGCAAGCCAGGATTCAAACCCGGGACTGCCCAGTCGGTCAGCAGGAGTTTGCGACCAGAGGCTGAGGGCCCCTTTGAGGGTTGCTCTCGTGTCAGAACTGCAAGTGTTCTGAGGAGCTACACGTACGCCAGGGTCTATAGATTGAATGAACAGCATGTCTTTACATGCACATATATGTGATTATAAAACGCATTTTTACTTAAAAGTATTGCTGGCCGGGCGTGTTGTCCCAGTGCTGTGGGAGGCCGAGGTGGGTGGATCACCTGTGCTCAGAAGTTCGAGACCAGCTGAAGATCCCCCTGAGCCAGAGTGAGACCCCGTCTCTACAACAACAACAGGACAACAAGACAGCTGGACCTTGTGATCCCAACTACATGAGGGGCAAGAAAACACTACAGGAGGAAGAAGTAATTAAAAAAAAATTAAAAAAAACCTTCAAAGTAATAAGTTGAAATAAAAAAAAATTAAAAAAACAGTATTGCTGAATTCACAGTAAAAATGCATGTTCTGAAAGGATACTGAAAGTGGAAATTTTGACATATCTGAAGGTCAGTGTAATTTTTTTGTGTTAAAAGGGTTCTTCTGACCCAGAGAGGTGTGGGTGCCATGCAGTGATGGACAAGTGAGTGAGGCCCCTGCTAGCCCCAACTTCACTGACCCCATGAGGAGGAGTCAGGCCCCCACTGGATGGAGCAGAGACTTTAAAGTTAGATCCATGAGGACCTTCCTTGGTCAGGGTGGTGCCTTGCTGGCCTGGGCAAGTTGGGAGATTTGATGAATTATCTTGCATGGGCATCCTGAAGAGTAGGAGAGGCCAGGTGGTGTCCGCCCCGAGGAGGGGAGGGGGCTGGGGAGCCTCCTGGCTGCAGCACCCTGCGAGGTGATGATTTTACACATTGTAATCTCGTGACTCACTCTTTTCTCCAGGGAGGAAGTACTTAGGATATTGAGTTCATAACTTCAGATAATCCAGGTATTGTGGGTGAGCATAAGCCAACCCTGTTTTCTCAAAATATTTATCAGGTCTTCCAGATTCAGAGGGCTGGGCCCAATCATCAAGAGTCACAGCTGGTCTATGGCTACACTGCCCTGGGGCTGATCTATTCTCCTCTCCTTCGCTCTCTTCACTCATGACTCCCATCACATTGGCAGCCTGGCCCTGTAATGTATGCCCCAGTCTTTGTTTTGTTCCCTGTCCCATCTAGTACCAAGTCATGTCTTCTCTGCTATCCCAACCCCCAGGATAAGCATACATTGTGCCCTTCTTCCCACTCCTTCCCGTCTATTGGGGAGGTCCCAGAGCTAGGACTAGCTGATGACAGTGGCAGTTGTGATTTTGCTTCTCAAGTCAATTCCTCTAAAGGAACAATCAGCATGGTCCAGAATCAGTGGGCTCTGGCAATAGCTGGGAAGTCACCTGCTGGGGGCACTAAGGTACCTGATTCACCATGGGTTTAAGAATTCCTACATTGCCATTGCCCTGGACTTGAGCCACCACATCTGGCCATGTGGCAGCCTCATTTCTGTCTGGCAGCAGGCAGGCCCTCTATGCTGCCCTCTTAAATATTAAAAGAAAAAATATGGCCTAATTCTTGTGATGGGTTTCATTTATCCTGCTATGTTCCTGTGTAGTCCAGAGGGGCTGAGATCATTGATCATCTCTAACAGATAACGATGTTGAAACACAGAGAATTTCAATAGCCTTGGCCAAGGCTAGTTGGGAAGATCTGGTACAGCCCTAGGTTTGGGACAGAACAGGAGAGGGGTCTGTGTGGCCACCCTCGGGGTCTGGGCTGACTTCACATTCTGTTCGGCCTTGGACAGCAGCTGTTGGAAGACCAGGGATGTAAGTCAGAAATCCTGGAGAGGGGATCCCAGCAATGGAAAGGGCAACTTCAACTTGATTCTGTGATTCTACATTTTTTTCTAGTGGGGAGGAAGTGACACTTATTTTGTATGTACATTTTTCTAAATCTAAATACCAAATTTGAGAAGTCTGTATACTCTTTGTTTTAAAATAATCTCAAATTAGTTTGGGCTCTATATGACATGTAATAGGAGTTGAACAAGCTTCAACCAGTTTTGTCTGATTGTAATAAGGGCTTTGTTAATTCATTAATTCATTAATAATTGATTGATTGACATTCATTTAACCAAGCAACCAACACCAACGAACCTTTGGAGCACCTGTTATTGGCAGAGCACTGTGTTCTTTGTCCAAGGGATCCAGGACACTAATGAGACTGTGAGCTCCTGGGAAGTTTGGGACTTTATCCTGGGGAAGGGGCTAAGATGTTGCACAGACTGGGGGTAACATACAGGATCAAGAAGGACAAAACGGGAGAACCAGGCCATGGAAGAATTTCACTTCCTTTCCTCTTGGGCCACCCTCCCACCCAACCCTACCCAATGAGTGTTGGAGAAGTCTCTGTCCCTTCCTCCTTTCCCCAACTCTGAGGAGCCTCCTGCCAAGGTCACATGGGCTATACCCTTGACTGGGTCTAACGTGCAGCAGACAGAACAGACAAGACCTGCCCTCATTTGGCAGGCATCAGAGCTGTATGGATGATTTTCTCTTGGACAAAACAAGCGCAGCACCTGAGTCTCTGAAAAACACCAGGCTGACAGGTTCTCAGGCTTTTGGAGTCAGACAAGTAGACATGTTCAGCGGTGCCAAACCTGGCCTCCTGGGCTGGGGGAGGCTCTCAGGAGCACATCCCTCACTGAAGAATGGTCCCATATGGGTCCCTATGACTGGGTAATAGGGCAAGGCCCCTGGCCTATGACTGGGTCTCCAGGGCTTGCACAGTACCTGGTATATGGTGGGTAATGTGTAAATATATGTTGAATTTGCTATTGAATTGATGTTTGAGTTTCTTGTTCCCTGAGACTTGGGCTAAAACCAGATAAATGTCAAAATGTGGAGAGCAAGAAAAGAAACCACAGAGAAGCCATGAGATGGGTAATTGTGTATAGTTTCCCTGGGACGCTTTCAGAACAAATGCACATTTGGCATGTTGGATTTTGCCAATGTCTGATCAATGTGTATAGGTGTTTACTTTTTCTCAGAAGGTGGTCATATACCAAAAAGCCACTGGCTCCTGAACTAAAAGCTTGGCATAGAGTGAGACCCCCAGGAGGCAGATGTGTGAGAGTTCTAGACTTCATTTCCAGAAATGGGGAAGGAGAGGCCACCATGTCATTCCCAAGCCCAGCCTAGGGCTGCATCCTTTCCCGAGTGAGGCACAGCTCTGGCAGGGCCTGGGGGCAGCTGACAGGCAGAGAGCCAGCAAGGCCTCCCAGGTCCATCAGACAGAGCTAGGAGGTGGCCATGCCTAAGCATGGGGCAATGCCAGACATCACCCCACCAGGTGAGCTGCCACCATTTCAGATTATTTTCAAGGTGTGTTTGGTAGCCTGGAACAAATGTATTGCCTTAGAGGCAAACCCAACCCATGAATATTTGGGATTAATTATCTCTCCTTCGTTAGAGCCCAACAACCTCCTCGAATGTATATAAAGCGATTCATTTTGTGGTCTTCAGTTCCTGTCCCTCTGCCTCTGGCTCTCAGTGGCCCTGCTTGTCTCATGCTTTTCTCTTCACCAAGTTCCTTACTATGAACAGACAAGCCAGCAAGACATCTGGTGGCGGGAGCCAGGGCTTCTCTGGCCGCTCTGCCATGGTCTCCGGCAGCAGCAAGATGAGCTGTGTGGCCCGCTCTGGGGGAGCCAGTGGAGGGGCCTGTGGGCTCCACAGTGGAGCAGGTGGCTTTGGCAGTCGCAGCCTGTACAACCTGGGAGGCAACAAGAGTATCTCCATCAGCGTGGCAGGTGGTGGCTCCCGGGCTGGTGGCTTTGGTGGAGGGCGGAGCAGCTGTGGCTTTGGAGGTGGTTATGGAAGTGGCTTTGGGGGAGGTTATGGAGGTGGCCTTGGTGGTAGCAGAGGAGTGGGAGGTGGATTTGGCAGAGCTGGTGGGTTTGGCGGAGCTGGTGGGTTTGGTGGAGCTGGTGGGTTTGGTGGAGCTGGTGGGTTTGGTGGACTTGGTGGCCTTGGTGGGCCTGGTGGGCTTGGTGGGCTTGGTGGGCTTGGTGGGCTTAGTGGGCCTGGTGGGCCTGGTGGGCCTGGCAGCTTCCCTGGGGGAATCCAGGAAGTGACTGTCAACCAGAGCCTCCTGCAGCCCCTCAACGTGGAGATTGACCCTCAGATTGGGCAAGTAAAGGCCCAGGAGCGGGAGCAGATCAAGACCCTCAACAATAAGTTTGCCTCCTTCATCGACAAGGTAATGAAGCTCTGACTGGTCCCCATTCCTCAGCTGGGGACTTTGAATTTGACCTTTGGACACAGTATTTTAATGTGTTCTGGATGGGCCAGGCTAGATGTCTGGGTATCAGGCAGAGCTCTAGGGTGCTGAGGAGTTTATCCACATAGGTAAATGAGGAGAATTGTGAAAAGAAAATGGTCCGCTGTCTGGACTCAAACACCACTGAACATTCGTGTTCCCTACCTGTTGTCTTATTCAGGCTTAAGCTGGCAGAACTGGCAGCCCAAGGCAAGGGTAATGGCCATTGGTAAGAATGGGTCTTTCCAAACATGAGTTGTCCTCTGAGGCTTTCTGGGAGGCCCTTTCCCACATGTCACTCTGCCATGCAAGTGAAGCTGAGGCCCTGGAGAAGGGATTAGGAGGCATAGGTAGAACATTACTCCCAAGGGGCTATGGAGAAGTGGGAAACTTACTTTGCACCCTTATCCAACCTCATCAGGAAGAGAAGGGTGAGCTTCTGCAGACCAGGACAGCTGGCACAGGGCTGCCTCTCCTCTAGGCTCAAGGGAGGTGTTGTCCTGCTGACTATGGATTGTCAGCCAGTGTCATTTCCCAGTGATTCATAGCCTTTGAAGGGCAGGAGTATCAGTGAAGTCTTAGGTGAAAATGATGCTCTTGAGGTTTATGTACATTTTTTTTTTGAGACACAGTTTTACTCTAGCTCTGGGTAGAGTGCTATGGCATCAGCTTAGCTTAGCAACTTCAAACTGGTGGGCTCAAGCAATCTTCTTGTCTAAGCCCACCGAGTAGCTGGGAATACAGGTGCCCACCACAATGCCCGGCTAGTTTTCTTATTTTTAGTAGAGACGGGGTCTCACTCTTGCTCAGGCTGGTCTCAAACTTGTAGGCTCAGGTGTTCTACTTGCTTGGGTCTCCCAGAGTGCTAGGATTTATGGACATTTTAGCAGAGAGCACTGTAGTTTTTGAAGTTGGACTAGAGTCATGAGGTTCTTGGGCGCAGGAAGGGGTCATCTTTACAATTCCCTTGCTTCCAATTTCCTTTGCCCTTCTCTCCTTCCTTGGTAACTTTCCAAACCGTGCTGCATCTTCAGTGTCCTGACTGGTCAATCACCTGGCCATAATCTCCCTAGCCATAGTATGAGCCTCTCCTTGCCTCCTTTCTAGGCCTTTGTGCTAGGGGACCACGGGATACAGACACCCGGTCCTACTTGACTTAAGGCCCTCCTCTCCTCTGCTACTAGTGCTGCCCGATGTCACTTTCCCCAATGCATCGCAGGTGCGGTTCCTGGAGCAACAGAACAAAGTCCTGGAGACCAAGTGGAACCTGCTCCAGCAGCAGGGCACAAATTCCATCACAGGCACCAACAATCTTGAGCCTCTTTTTGAGAACCACATCAACTACCTGCGGAGCTATCTGGATAACATCCTTGGGGAGAGAGGGCGCCTGGACTCAGAGCTGAGGAACATGCAGGACGTGGTGGAGGACTTCAAGAAGAAGTGGGTGACAGGGAAGGAGTCGGGTGGTGCTGTGGACCATCCTGTCTCAGAGCCCCAGCCCTTTCTGCATTCCTCTTCACTGCTGAGCAGTCATGTCACCTGGCCTGTCCCCCTCTCCTTACCTTTGTGGAGGACAGCTTGGTCCATTAGTTTCCCTCTTGCCTTTCTTTTCCAAGCATAGCCCTTTACAAATAAAACTGTGGAGAAGGAGGGATGAGTTTGGAGCTGGGGAGGCACTTCCTTATGAGCCAGGTTGGGGAAGATCCTGGTTCTTGTATCAGAAAGATTCTGAGTCAACTCCTGGTACCACAACCAAGCAGGAGGTTCACCAGGGACTCAAGGGTTTCCCAGGATGTAGAACTTTCAGCACTAAAACCAGGATGGTTTGCCTAAGCAAATTGGATGGTTGGTCCCCCTGACTGATAGGGAGGTAGGAAAGAGGATGTGTTCATCTAATAGGACAGTGGTTCTCAACCTTCCTAATGCCACGACCCTCTAATACAGTTCCTCATGTTGTGGTGACTCCCAACCATAAAATTATTTTTGTTGCTACTTCATAACTGTAATTTTGCGCTGTTATGAATCATGATGTAAATATCTGATATGCAGGATGGTCTTAGGCGACCCCTGTGAAAGGGTCATTCAACCCCCAAAGGGGTCACGACCCACAGGTTGAGAACCACTGATCTAAGGGCAACAGGATAGGATGAAGGGAGGGAAGACATGAACTTTCAGGGCTTCCAGAAATAGTGGTATTTACAACTACCTCAAAACCAAACTTGGCTATTTCTTTTTTTTTTTTTGCAGTTTTTGGCCGGGGCTGGGTTTGAACCCGCCACCTCTGGTATATGAGGCTGGTGCCCTACTCCTTTGAGCCACAGGCACCACCCTAAACTCAGCTACTTCTTTTCCACTCTGACAGATACGAGGATGAAATCAATAAACGGACAGCTGCTGAGAATGAGTTTGTGACCCTGAAGAAGGTAAGGGCTGTGTGTGAGGTTTCTGGGCTAGCAGCTTCAGGTTTCTGGCTGGGTTGGGGGAATCTCCTTATTCCACTGCCACAGAGATGCCACCAGGCCTTTGGAGCAGTAAACAGAAGCCAGGTATATCTAAATATGAAAGATCCCTAAAAGAGTCAGTTGACTGGTTGTTAGCTTTTGAGTGGGATTAAACTTAAACCATCCCAATGAGTTGCAAATTGCCCCTTCACATGGAGACTAGTTTTGGATAAGTACCAGCACCAGCACTGGTCTTGCCTGTCTCTCTCTTGGTGCAGTTTGTTGTTTGGTCTTTTGAGGAATAAGGCCTCTGTGCTCCTGTCTTCTCAGGATGTGGATGCTGCGTATATAAACAAGGTGGAGCTTCAGGCCAAGTTCGATGCCCTGATGGATGAGATCAACTTCTTGAGGACCCTTTATGATGCGGTGAGGATGTTACCTACAAAGAGGTGAGGGAGGGCGAGAGGTCTCCAGATTTGAGGCTGAAGCATTTTGACATCTAGGCTCCAGAAGGCTGTTAGGATGACCCTAGACATGAGGCCCCTTGGAAGCGATCCCACAGGATGGGATGCAGACCAAGAGTTCTCTGAGTGGCTGGACCAGGGTGGGGCAGAGATACACTAGAGTTAAGAGTCAGTGAGTGCAACTGTTCATTGGGGGTCTTTCCAGGCCTCTGTGTGCTTGCTGCAGAGACCTTGAAAGTGAATAGGCCCCCTCTGTGCTGGCAGGAGCTGTCCCAGATGCAGAGCCATGTCAGTGACACATCCGTGGTGCTGTCCATGGACAACAATCGCTTCCTGGACCTGGACAGCATCATAGCTGATGTCCGTGCCCAGTATGAGGACATTGCCCAGAGGAGCAAGGCTGAGGCTGAGGCCCTGTACCAGACCAAGGTGGGTGCTGGGCACCTTTCCGAGGAGCCATGGGAGGTCTCAGAGGCGATGGCCTATGGGACAGCTGGATGACGTGTTCCCAGCGGTCACTGGGTGAACTCCTCTTGGTTCTACCCCCCCGGAGACATCTCTCTAATAGGTGTTGTGCTGTAGAAAGTCTTCGCCCCTGGGCAGAGGTGGTGGGACAGACTCTAGCTTGCTCAGGGACTGCAGGGTGGGAAAATTTTCTACCACAACAAGCCAGATGTTCTCTTCCCTGATGCCTTGGAAATGTCTCTGCTGAAACACAATTCAGTATCATTTTAGCAAATGCTCACTGAATTTCTCCAAGTTTGGCGGTGATGTTGGGGTTATAGAAACGAGTCAGGCAGAGCTGCATCAGCACCATGTTCTCCCTTCTGTTTTCTAGTTGGGAGAGCTGCAGACCACGGCCGGCAGACACGGGGATGACCTGAGGAGCACCAAGAGCGAGATTATGGAGCTCAACAGGATGATGCAGAGGCTGCGGACGGAGATCGAGAACATCAAGAAGCAGGTGGGAGGGCCACAGATGCAGGTGCCTGGGCTAACTGGCGAGGGCTGGGGGCTAGGACCTCAGGATTCCTAGCCTGGAATGGACTTCTGAAAGTTAACTCAGACAGCATCAGCTTCCAGGGAGTTCAAACGCCGGCTAATCCATGAGGCAATATCTCCATGAATAAAGATGAGATGGTGGGGCTAAGGGAGCGGAGATGTTACCTGATTTTAAGATGAATTAATTGTAAGACACAGAGGCCTGGGACCTTCTTACTGGACTTATCCCTCTACCTTCTGCCCCAGAATGCCAACCTGCAGACAGCCATTGCGGAAGCTGAGCAGCATGGGGAGATGGCCCTCAAAGACGCCAATGCCAAGCTCCAAGAGCTGCAGGCTGCCCTACAGCAGGCCAAGGATGACCTGGCCCGGCTGCTAAAGGAGTACCAGGAACTGATGAACGTCAAGTTGGCCCTGGATGTGGAGATCGCCACCTACCGCAAGCTGCTGGAGGGCGAGGAGAGCAGGTGGGCCTCCAGTCCCATCTCCCCACACTCCCTGCCCCAAAGCACATGTTGAGGGCCAGATAAGTGACCAAGTAATTGGGGATGGAGGCCTGCACCTGCTATATATAGGGAGGCCCCCATCTTCCACGGGCCTTGCAGAGAACCAATTGTTTCTACCAGCCCACTCCCTGCACTGGTAGCCAGAGCCCGTGTACACCCAGTGCTTGCAGGGTCTCCTTGTTCTGGTCCATAGATGGGGTGGAAAAAGCTTACTGACCTGACAGGCTTCTAAGTTCAGTTCTGGTTGCTATTCGTCACCTTGATTCCTGGACTTGTTGGACATGTGCTTTGTGATGGAGCCATTCTTCTTTTACTTTCTCAAACAGGATGTCTGGAGAGTGCCCGAGTGCCGTCAGCATCTGTAAGTAGCCAAAGTATCCGTGACAATGACAGTTAATTCTGAAATATCTGCACTAACACAGGGATATAGCAACTTATTCCAGTGGAAGTTGGAGGGGTATTCTGCAAGTGGAGGGGCAGGGGATGGGCTTCTGCACTTGTTCTGGGTTCAGGGCACTTTTAACAGGTCTGGATTGCCAGTGGGGGAATATCCAATAGGCCCTTAAGGGAAGGAGGAATTCTGAGGCTGCATGATCTCCAGGAGTGGGGGTCATCGAGAGTTGGCAGATGTAGGAGGAACCGCTGGATACTTCACACGACTTCACACCGTGGGCTCCAGTAACTTAGGACTCATGGAAGTCATCAGGCGCAAAGCATCCTTGACCCCAACGATCCTGGGCCCAGGGGATCATCAGCTAATTACAAGGCAGTGACCTGGGCTCTGGAGCGCTGATCACTGTCCTGTCCTCTCTCCCTGCAGCCGTGGTCAGCAGCAGCAGCGCCACTACGGCCTCGGCAGGTGGTTACGGCGGTGGCCTCGGCGTGGGAGGCGGTGCGGGCGGCGGCTTTGGCCTGGGCGGCTGCAGCGGGTTTGGCGGCGGCGGCGGCGGCAGCAGCATTGGGTTCGGCGGCGGCGGCGGATTTGGCGGCGGCAGTGGGTTCAGCGGCGGCAGCAGCCTTGGCTTTGGCTCTGGCTCCGGCGGTCGCTGTGGAGTCAGCGGCGGAGGCTTCAGCTCTGGCAGCACCCGGGTCGGCAGCGCCAAGTTCTCCCAGTCCTCCCAGCGCTGCTCCAGATAAAGAGCGCCCATCAGCCTACTTGCAGCCAGCCCAGCGCCTCCATCTCCACTCCCCCGCCATCAGCAACACCCCTAGTGCTATCCCCCCTCCCCGTGTCCCAGGGGCGCTGCTCTTTGTCCCTCGAAAGCTGGGGACCTCTTTCTGCTCCATCCTTGGCCAAGCCCCACCATGAGAGAACTTCCCACTCTCTTCTTTCTGGTTCCAGCCTGTGCCTGTGATTGTCTGGCTGTGCCCTCAGCCACCACCTTCTTCAGTTCTGAGGTCCCCTGCCTGGGTGGGATGGTCGCACGGTTCTGATGTTTGTAACACACAGTCCCCTCTGCCCCTCCAACCTCCCCAGTAAAGTGCATTGTGTCTCATACCAGGCCTCTGAGCCTTCTCTCTGGTCACCCTCCTGGCCTCCCTGCCTCTTCCACGTGGGCTCTGTGGTGTACAGAGCACCTAGACTACTATTCCTCTGAGACCAAGGCAGTGTGTCCCCACTGTCCATTGCAAGGTCTGGTTGTAGCTCAGTGGAAGGCTAAGGGATCACTCTAGGAAGCTGTGTGGCCTCTTGGTCCTTAGAGGGGAGCTTGGGCCATGCAGAAATCTATTTTCTCTCTGTCTTCTCTCATTGGGGGGACCTAAGAGGGTCTTGGGGACAGAGTTTCTTGGTGCTTGTCCCACTCCATATGATATCTTAAAATCTTTTCCCCATCCAAGTGTACCTGGGAAAGTGTGAGCTGAGAGCCCAGGGCCAGAGGGGTTTCCCGAGAACAGCTCCAGGAGCTCTCCTGTTGTAAAGTCTGATCCACCAGCACCAGTCTGTTGAGACACTGCAATGAAGGGTTCATGTTTGTTAAATCTTCTCTCTTTGGAGCACATATTAGACTTTCTGAGAAGTTCTGTAGCAGAGAAAATCTGTTAGCTCTTTTTAATCCGGCATTTCCCCCCGAGGGCCCCCTTCCTGGGAAACAGCTATTAACAGTCCTCACAAAACACCCAGCACGTGCACATGGTCTGCCGGCACGCAGGGTCTCCTGATGCACGAATGCTTAGTCACCCCGGCCTCTGCCCTGATAAAGGGTTAATTTGCCATGGGGGTACTGTCCAGAAGGTCACCGATGGAAAGGACTCAGGAGCAAGGAGTCCAGGTTCATGTGTAACTGAGAGACTGAAGCTCAGAGAGGTGGAATGACTCATTTAGGGTCTTAGGGCATGTGAAGCCCTGTGCTAGGAGTAGACCCAAGTGCCCCGAGTCCAGAGCTCCTTCGGCTTCTCCACGCTGCCCCTGAGGCTATAGGGGCTGCCTCCCAGGCCACACCACACTGCCTGGGAACCTGAGAGAACACACAGGCTGTGGAATAATCATGTCTAGTCAGGACAGGCCAGGGAAGCAGTATTTCCATCCTAGGCCAAAGCTGGATTTATTTCAGAGATGGAGAATAGCAGTTAACAAGGAAAACTTGAAACAGGGTATCAAAGAGATTCATTATGAACAGCAGCTGCCAGTTCCACTGATGACCCAGGAAAGCTTTTTGAAGGAGGTAGGATTTGGTAGCTGTTGCCTCATTTTTTGGCAGGAATGTGCCTTTTCTGTTTGGTTTCATTCTGTGGAGAAGGGGCAGGAGACATAGGTGGGACCAGGAGGGTTGGCCCTATGGGAATATGCAGGCCAGTCATGGGGTGGCTGCTTCACTTTGGACAAAGTCACTATTAATGAATTCCTTCCTCCATTCATTCAACCAATATTCACTAAGCATTTATCCTCTGTCTGGCATGGGGTTAAATTTTGGAGTTGAACCAGTGAGCAAAAATTAGACACTGACCCCATTTTCATTTTCATAAGGGAGCCTGACAAAAACAAAGTAAACAAATTATGAATAAAATAATTTTAAGTTGTGATAAGTATTTGAGGAAACCAGGGACTGAGTTGGGGAAATGACAGGACTTGTTAATGGATTGGATGGTAGGGGAGAGGAGGGTGGGAAGGTGTGAGGAGCAGCTCTAGGAGCTCTACTGTGGGGAAAGTGGAGACCATGGGTAAGATCCCTGGGCCACAGCTGGAGATGTGAGTGTGGATTCAGAAGGGAGTCCCGCTAGGGCTGGAGACTCACATCTAGACCTCGTCAGCACAGCAGCTGTTAGGGTGGTTTTCTTTTTTTTTTTTTTTGAGACAGAGCCTCAAGCTGTCCCCCTGGGCAGAGTGCCGTAGCATTACAGCTCACAGCAACCTCCAAC